AAAAGAATTCCCTGACTTCATCACCTCGGCAGAATGGCCTCCTTATAGTCCAGACCTGAACCCATTGGACTTTTGCGTGTGGAGCATCTTGGAGAGCAAAGCCTGTGCTACTCCCCATGCATCTCTCGAATCCCTGAAGCGTGCCCTTCAAACGGAATGGATGAAAATCCCCCAGGAAACCCTGCGTGCCGCAGTCGATGCATTCCGAAAGAGACTTCGCGATTGTGTTACGGCAAAAGGTGGTCATTTTGAATGAATTTGTGGGCATTATCTGTTGAAATGGTTGTAGTTTCTAATAGCGTTGTCCCCATTTGTGAGTAATTTAAAAATGGTTATAAAAAGTTGAGATAACCGAGTGTACAGAACTTTTGTGTCACCCTGTATATGTGAGAATTTTCTTATTTGCATGACATCCTTATCACTTTCTGAGGGGAGCGTTTTTATTCACAGAGGAGGAGAGTAATTTTACTCCTTGGTGATGGAGTAAATTCGCTCCTTTCCCAGAGTGAAAGGGGGGTGAAACTGGAGTTAGCTATTTTACTTTCTTTTTTTAGAAAAATCGCTCCCCTTTTTCTAAGAGTGTAGTTTCGATTGCGCGCGTTCCATCTTCTTTTTCGTACTCTTATGCCATCTGAACTCTCCCCCCCCCCCCCGGGGGCTGTTACGTTATCGAAAATATTAATAGATCCAACTGTCGCAATGACCGGGGGAAAAAATGCAAGCCGAGGAGAGGGAGACGTACACCCGGAGGCAGGCATTGAAGGCGCCGCACATGCCCTTGCGGACATACACACGGAGGCCCAAGCATATTATATTTATAGATTGTTCATATCCTATTATATATCTTCAGTTGAAACACGATCTCATCTTCATGAAGCGCACAAGAAAAATGCAATAGGCCCAGAAGCCATCAGTAGCCATGAGCTCTCTGCAACGGTACCCGAGATGGTTCCCGTGGGATCGGGTTCCCATAACCAAGGACGCGGTTCCAGATGCCAGAGGACTTATTGGAATCTAAAGCAATTTAAATTGTCCTTGAGCTACCTATCACCCGAAAAACAACAAACTGCCATTCTATTTCTCTTTTACAACTAAGAATACTTAATTTATTTTATACGTTATGATACATTTCATCCCATGAAATATTCCCGCAATTAAATATTCGACCAACCCTTTTCCAGGATCGGATATTCTGATTAATTTCCCCATTCCCTTGGCAGGCGATGGCGCCTTCCTCCTTCATATCCAACAGGTGAACCTTGCCAGTAACACCTCCCACTACGCACCGATGGCGCCTTCCAGTAGAAAGAGCCCATCCAATGGGAAATCAGAGGGAGATGGGGAGGATGCGAGGGAGATGGAGGGTTCAAAGGGTTCAATGATCCAGAACGGAATCCAGGACGGACAGGGCCTCTCCAGTTAAAAATCTTAATTAATCCAAAAATACATCCACATATTTCAAAGCAACTCCTCCTCAAAGAATGGCAATGAAAATGTGAATATTCATGACGTGATTCATTCACCAATTCCTCATCAGTGATGCATTATTAATCTATTCATCATCTGAAACTCCAACTGTTCCATAGACATAGCCAACTTCTTGCATCCTTCCAGAGGCTTGGATGACTCCGCCTCTTTCTTCCCTTTCCTCCTGTCTGGTTTCTTCCTCGTTTTCAATTTCAATTCAAAAGAATGGAACTATTCCACCGAAATCGTTCGGCGATGCAGATGCTAATGAAATATTCGTGGAGGCGGTCAAATTGAAATTTTCAGGCTATTGGCCTGCCATGTAGTGTAAGCATAGGAACATACAGCTTCTCCTTTGCTGAATACGCATATTAACTGCCTGCTGACCATCCTGTCCCATGACAAGTTACCTAAATCGGCCCATTGCACAAATGTGGAAAAAGGACACTTAGGCCTTTTTTCTTAGTAACTCCTCAATTGAGGGACTTAAAGCGATTTTCATGAATAACCAGTAAGTCTTTGAGGGGGAGTTTTCTTCAGGTCTTCTGAATGATTCTGTGTTCCTGGTGTTGTGTCCCTTTGTGCTTGTCATAATCTTTTTTTTTTCCCTTTGCCTGGCCATGGAATCTAGCAGAGTATGGCTATAGCAATCTCTATTAGTTTTGGTTTGGATTTTGGGGTTTCATTCTTGAGTTTGCCGGACCGAACCCGACATCCGTGTATTCCCCGTCGGGTATTGAAATAGGGGTCATCCCCAGTTCAATAGGTGACAGTCACCTCGAGATTCTCTCCTTCGTGTTCCATACAGATGGGAACCCTTTCTCGGAGTTCCCATCGGATGTCATCAACGCATTGGAGAGACTGGAGGAGTTCTCTTGCGCGGAATGCAACCTGGGACCGAACATTCCGAGCGGGTTCATCAATTTCCGTAGCGAGTCCTTGAAGGTGGTGAATCTCGCTTGGAATAAAATCGTCAGGTTGGAGCCCGGAGCCATCACAGGTAGGATTCCCAGTCTTTGTCCAGCCCCTTTTCCCCTTCAGATCGTAGATGCAAGTTTCCACAAATATCTGCCAGGCCAGAATCATAATTTCCTAGCTCCGAATTCGGAGATGTGGGGATGAACTGCGGTACCTACTGCGTCTTAAAGTATTCCCCATTTCGGGTACCGCTGCGACATGGGAGTCTAAACTTTGCCCGTGTTGCCGTTTCAGGCGTGGGGTGGGTGCTGAGTGAGAGGGCGTGCAAAGTCCGTATCCTACAGACATACATTTTGAGTTTTCGGTTTCCACTGATTCGGGAGCACAGATTCGGTACATTCGATCCATTTGCAAAAAAAATTATCCTCTGCCATCTGCTGCCATGAGCTGCGCTAACCTCAACTTTCATGGTGTGGATGCAGTAGGCGAAAATTTTCCTCATTTTCTGAATAAATTTCGTCGATGGACGCGAACAAGCGTCGTATGAAACTCCTGACCTGAATTTTGGGACAGGAATTTTCGCGAGTAAAATATTATTGCCCTTTCGATGCTTCTTCTTTGGGAGACGTAAACCCAGATCGTTTCCTCCACCTCGACCAACAGTTAATTGTTTTAAGGCGTTGAGATTTGAGTGACGCCCTGCAGACTTCAATCGGCTGGGCCTGAAAACCGGACAAAATGTTTCACATCAACCGCTTTCCTCGATTGCCCGAGAACTCGAGGGTTTCCGAATTATCCGAGTTCGTTTGCTTAAACGTTTTGCAATGCATTATTACTTTTTTTTTCTCGGAGATCAAAGGTCGTGGGAAGTCCAAAATTAGTAGACCTTCAGGCCTTTATTAATACGACTTTTGGAGAGCGACATGTCCCTTTTTTTCCGAAAGTGCCTTCAAGTCAAAGGTCTCAAATATCAGCAGGTTCGCAGCAATCGTTATTCTGATCGATGTTTGAGACTTGATGGAAATTCATGAACAGATAAACATTCTCTAAAGTATCCCAGTTCTACTCATTGTTCTTTTAATTCGGCCAATAACTCTTTATTGTGATGAACATTTTTTAAAGTGGAATTTAATTTAAAATGTTCATAGACTGAAAATTTGCAATAGCAACCGCTATATATTTTAAGTGGAACTTTTTTTTGGGGGGGGGAAACTGGCATTAAAGTGCTGGTGATGCCATGTTCTAATGAGGTCAGATTAAAATTCCAAGAAGATGAATTCCAAACGACACCGATCGCTCCTTGCATGATATAGAAAAGGCAACTTCTTTTAGCAATAACAATCACGCAGTGGAAGAGGAAATTGACTCGCCGAATTAAGCGCTATAGTTTACACGAGACAATACAAAAATATCACTCGATGGAAGCAGATGAATTCGATGAGATATGCAAGGCAGGCGTGGCGCGGTTAAGGATATTTTCATTTATGCTCCGTGGATGAGATACGACAGGTCCAGAAACGGAAACGTGGGCCCTGGTCACGCCTTCACATTTTTCACGCTCACCCCGAATCGCATTATGGACGTGGTCCGTCTTGCAAGTGCACATTACTGCGTCCGAACGCATTAGTGTCAGCAAGAGTTAGAATGCAACGTTGAGGAAAAGGTAATATCTAAACTCACAACGACTTCAGCGTGAAAGGAACGATTAAGATGGTCCTATTAATATAATTTTCAGTGCAAGAGATATTTCAGTGCCACATGATTTATGGTTGAGATGCAATTAGATTCAACCCATGCGTTCTTGGCTTATCATATCGTCAATCCCAAACGCTGCACAGTTCTTCCGCGTAGTTTTGAAGTCAGGAGTGGAAAGCGTAAGAAGCCTCGTGTTCATTCTAGGTATGACACCCAACACGTATGTCGATCTACAGCACAACAATATCGCCACTTTCCCGAAGGAAAGCTTCCAGTCCATTCTACAAGTCCTCTCGCGCGGGAACGGGATCCTCAACGTGAATTGTGAGTTTCACGGTTTTTCTCGCAACACTCTACGATCTCCCAAAGCCCGTTATTTTGCGTCACACGATGAATGAGGAATCGAACTAAAATCCAGTCCAATGTTGATTTGTCCAGCATTTTCCCCCGAAGGAGGGAAGCCAGCAGGGAATACCATTCCCTGCGATTGTCACGCCGAATGGTTAACGAACGACCGACTCTTCAAGAGCATCGGCGGGAGGTGTCGAAACGGAATCGAATTTCATCAATTCAGATGGGACGAATTAGAGTGCCTTCAGCCCTGCCCCTACTCGTGCGTCCAGATCGGCCTCTTCCCCCTCTGCAATCCAGAGACAGTCATCTTGTCGAAGGTGGAGGGCTGCCGACATCAGGAGCTGTGCTGCCAGCCGAACTTCCCATCGATCGCCGCGACGACAAAGCCCCGACCGACAGGTGCGATCGCGGCGCGAATCGGTCGGTTTCCATAGTACACTCTTAGAAAATTCTGAGCGTTTGAGGAGTAAAAAGTGAGCACACCATGAGCTTTTCGAATTTACTCTCTTATTACTCAACAAATGCTCCCTCATCGCTCGTATTGAAGTGAACACTTTGAAGTTCTTCGTCAGGCCCATAGATGGCGGTAAGGGTCTCGCTTTTCGCACAGTATACATAAGTTCCCTTCTCTCTTTCCCTGGAATCGTCCCTTGCAGAATTGTTTAGTACCTTGCCATATGTCTCGCCTAGACTCATTATAGGAATAAAAAAAATGGACACTTCATCATTTGTTATCCACATATTCAAGACATATTCATGGAGTCTAGGCCATAAACAAGCTTATATTTGTATTAAGAACCCCCTTGGAACGCGAATCTTTGAGGATTTTGGTAGCAGCTCGCTATGAGTTCACTGCCTTCCCATGCCCCAGCTGCCGGGGGTAGAACTCCCGGCAGCTAGAACTGCCTTTTTCAAGGCTTCCCAGTACCTGGTTTGCGAGCGACTCGCTCGGGCTCTTCCTACCCTCTCTTCGTCTTTTGGTTTCTCTCTCTTGCCTGTTCCTCGTCTAAACACCGCTCTCTTTTCTAAAGTCATTGTCTAGCTGCTCCTTTTCTCTCTACTGTTCATAACGTTCATATCTGTCTCCTCTGCTCGCCCCTTGACTCGTTCTCTTGTCCCCCTT